ACTTTTCTGGAATCTTGGCCCAGTACGCCTTAAAAAGAAAGGAGAAGCATGATAGCTGAGTAGACGCGAATTTTTACGTAGCTGCAATTATTATTTATTTAAACTGTTCCACAAGTTGATTTGCGATACAAATTTTCAAAAAACATCCGTCTGACAGTGAGCCGGTCAAATTTCCGCTAAAATTCACGCGCTAAAGTAATTAATTAATTAATTCCTGCCGAAAACAAACTTCATTTAACTAAACTTGTCGGATTTCGCCAAAGGAGAAAAAGAAAAAAGATAGAATGGGAACGAGAGCAAAATCTGCGCGTGCTATTGTCCCTTCTCCTCAAACGCCGCAAATACTCCCGAACGTCACATTGAAAGATGAAAGCTCACCGTCGGCAGTTTGGCTGCAAAAGCTCGATGCTAAACTGCAAGCGCAGAAGGAGAGTATATTGGAGCATATAACAACAAATATTAAGGCATCTGAGGAACGTGTGGTGGAGCGAATTGGAGAGATATCAGCAGATCTCACTAATTTTAAGCTGGCTTTCAAGAAAATTTAACAACGATTGGAAAAAGTTGAACTGGAATGTCATGAGGTTGGAAATCTGAAAAAAGAAGTGAATGCCCTAAAACAACAGATTGATCATCAAGAAAACTGCTTGATATCATCAGATCTAATTATACACTAATTATAACATAGCTGGTAAGTTTTCTCAACTTTGCCAAAAAATTCAGTCACAGTTGCACTACAGCTATGTTAAAAATATTTGAAGATATTCGTCCTGCATATGAGCAAAACCACTTAACAATCATGGCGCTGTTGGATTTTAGCAAGGCTTTTGATATAATTGACCATAGCTACTGCTGTTGAAATTTAAAAAAATGTTTGGTTTCAGCAGCTTTGCAATAAAACTTATGAAAAGTTATCTATCTGATCGTCTGCAACAAGTACAGTGTGGGAAAAGAGTATCTTGCCTAAAACGGGTTACGTCTGGAGTACCTCAAAGTTCGATATTGGGTCCAATACTATTAATAATAGTATATACATAATGCATTGCTGCCGCAATGTAACAATACATCTATATGCAGATGATACGCAAATATATTTATCGCGGCCCATCGGATTGTCAGAAGATCTAGTCTGTAGAATAAATGAAGATCTTTTACGTATATTTAATTGGGCGCGATCAAATAACTTATAATAACTATATATATATATAACTCGTCCAACTTTTTGAATCGTTACATCTCGGAAACGGTGGCTCTTAGGACAAAAAGTATTTAGACATTTGTTATAGATAATTATCTGATCTACAATTTTTGTCTTAACTAATTTTATGATAAACTTACCGTTTTGCTGAAAATCGCGAAACCCCCGTTTTTGTGACCTTTGACCCCGAGTAACTTTTTTTCCAGGTATCGGATCGATGAGGCCTTTCTTGATTTCATTTATGATGGGAATTTTTGTAACTTCACTCCTATTTTTGGTCTAATTTGACCGGACTAAAGGTGTAACAGCCTATTTAAATGAAAAATTATTTTAATTTTTTGAATTTTATATGGAAACTAGCAGGCCCGGCGAACTTCGTCCCGCCCAAAATTAGATTTTTAATTTAAACACTTTGGTCTAACAGTTTCTCCAACAATACACATTAACGATTTGTACAGGCACATTAATCAGCTAAGACTATGGTTTGGTGGTCGTTTGCCGCCTTAAATAACCGAACGAAAGTGTTATGTCCATGAGAAGTTCCCTGGTGGCAACAATGATCCGGATCTATAGTGAATATGCCATAGAAACCAGAGCTGGGTGATTTTTGATTACGATTACATTTTAATTACGATTGCTTAATCGTAATCCTTAAATTATATACGGTTACGATTACTTTAATTGTAATCATATATGTTACCATTATGATTATAATAATTGTAATCTTAAAAATTTATTGACTAAGATTACTGTAATCGTAATCATGAGATATATGATTACGAATACCGTAATTGTAATCCTTAAAATTGAGACTCCGAGCAGATTGTTGGAGGAACCATGAGTTGTTGGCGGCGTGTGGGTGGTGGCGCGGTTGTGCCTGTGGTCTATTGTGTCTTTGGTGTGGTGTATTGTGTTGTGTTGTGGTGCGGTGCGGTGCGGTCGTGTTGAGTTGCTCAGGCGGACTCTGATGTGCCTTGGGGCAGCTCAATTTGAGCAGCAAGGGGCCACGTATGACGCACAGTGGTTCGGAAAGCAGATCTAGCTGGACGAAAGTCAACTTTTTATTTGTTTTTAAAATACTCAATGGTACTTGAAATACATTCCCGACAATACTTTCAAATAGAAGTTGCCTTGATAAAAGCAATAAGCATATGGAAACACAAAAATAAAGGGTAAGTCAACGCCGTCTATTTGAAAACTCTATTTTAAAAACCGAAATTTAACTTATAATATAGCTAATTGCACTCACAAATGGTTGTATAATTGCAAATTGACTTTATAAACCAAAAATTACACTTATTTCGCTATAAATTCAGAGTTAAAAAAAAAAAACAAATTAAAGAGTAGGAAAAGTTACAAAACCACTTGCATATTATTCTTTACACCTTCGGGAATGCAGCAGTTAAGTTCGATAATCATGTCTAAACAATTGGCTTAAATAGATATTTGCATTTTAGTGACGGTATGTCAAATCTCAAAATTCAAAAGTAGTTATTCGGGCATGTGCTGCAAATCGTACGATTTCAAATCGGTGCGATTTGCAAAACCTACTTTGGAGATTTCTTAACAAAACGGCAAATTTTGCCACTGAATCGATAGATATGAAGTAAATGATGTGTTTCTCGCCGTTTCCATTTGAAATATTTACTACTTTCTTTAAAAATATTCAAAAATAGTTTGCAAATCGCACCGATTTCAAATCGTACGATTTGCAGCACATGCCCGATTAACAGGAATTTATACTATTGTAAACTTTATATGACAACTATATAAGAGTTTTTAGGGTCGGTGAATATAAATATAACAGTGGCGGATCCACGGGGGAGGGGGGACAGCGGGTTGAGGTATTAAACCCCTCCCTTAAATCGAAGAATAATAGTACAGTAATGTGGGTTTAGACAATGGGTTTTTGGGAAAAAGTATGCGAAATTTTCAAATAAATGCATACCATTTTTTGCTTTATTCATAACACATGTCGACAATTTTAAACATATTCAATTTTTCTTTTTACTTATAAATCAATGAAACGAAGATTTTTCACATTTTTCTTCGTTTTTTGAAAAATTCTTCTAGAACTTCGTCAACTGCAAAATGTATTTTATAAAATGTAAATATATTTCTTGACCTGAGGTATTTCTCAAGTAGGTCTTAATTAGCTATTTAAACGGGCAAAAGTGCCAATACGCGTAAGATCTTAAAAACATTCTTAAAAGACGTTGTATTCACTATTTGTTTCCACATTTTTACCTCCACAAGAAAGTTTTGTTTCGAACAGTCGATTAAAAGTTACAAAGAAACTGGGCTATGAAAAGTATAGTACCAGGTTAACTGAGCTTTACCTGGAGCGCAAATATATGTACATATATAAAAAAATTTCCAAAAAATAAACTTGCACTTTATAAACTAAAAAAATTGAATGGGCAACAAAACTGTATACTCAATACCTTTCTAAGGAACCTAATTAAAACAATCGGAATTTTTACGATTTTTTTTTTCAAATATTGCATAAAGCTTGAAAGTTTGAAACTTGGATTTACACTGTTTTTGTTAAAGAACAAACTACATTTTTATGAAAAGATAATTTAGATTAAATAATAATAGAATAAGTAGTCAAAACTTGCCAATATGTGGGTGTCGCATAGTTATGATCTTGACTATTTTTAGTAGAGAATTAGCTGTTCTATTAAATAATTTTAAAAATTACTAAGTCATTGTTATTGTGAACTGAAAATAAAAATCAAAATAAAAAGCGATATATACAATCATAAACAATATTTAGATAACTAGTTTTCTATTAAATTTTTAACAAATTTGTATAATTATAATTATAAGTATAATTTTTTAACAAAAAATTTTCATATATGAAGGGTTAAGATTTTTTAAATATGTCGTTTGCCATGTTGGATCTGTCATTTTGAATTTTAAGTAAATGACTTAAGATGCGTATTCAACGAACCAAAAAACCCCCAGATTCCCAGTCTCATAGAAATCTACCGATTTTTTAAATATTTCGTTTGCCATTTGTCAGATCCCCAGTTTCAAAGAAATTACGGATTCTATAAATTTTTCGTCCGCCATACTGGATCCGCCATTTTGAATTTTTGGTAAATGACTTCAGATTCGTAATCAGCGAACCAGAAAATCTCCAGATATCCAGTTTTATATAAATCTACCGATTTTTTTAATTTTTCTCGTCCGCCATACTGGATCCGCAATTTTGAATTTTTGATAAGTGACTTCAGATTCGTAATCAGCGACCCAAAAATCCACCAGATAAGAAGTGGCTTAAAAATCTATCAAAGAGTATTTGTTTAAATAGTTTCGTCCAGCTAGACTTGCTATCTGAACCACTGTGTGACGTGGTCCATTGCCGTTGAGTTCTGAGCCCTGACCAAGCTCGAAGGTAACTCCACCAGTTATAGGAGTTACATCCGATTGGGTCGTTCCTGGCACACCCACCAGGTGTAGGTTTCTGTTTCAGGGTTTCACTCGATGCCAGCCCTGAGAAGTAGTGTGCGAAGCACATGTAGCCCTATGGATTACGCCGACCTAAACAGAGTTAGATCGCCGAAACAACAGCCTCTGGACGAGTAAGACACGAGACATTCCGGTACGTAGAACCGGCTGTCGTGGGACGCAGTACTTCGGACTGCCATAAGAAGTCACCAAAAGACTATATGCAAACTTCAAACTACATTAACATTGCCGTAAGCTCTCGGTCCATAAATACCATAATCGAAGACCAAACTATTCTGAGTCGTAATCATTGTAAACACATATTAGCACTAATAAAATGACTTACCATCTCAAGTTGTCTTAGAAAGCTCCTATCAAATATTCCATGGCACGTGTCCTTAATATGCTCTTCTATGCATTTCTGAACCAGGGATGTCAGGCTTTGTCCTGCGATGCCATCCAAAAGTTCTATTTCTTGTAATGCTTTGTTTGTTTTGTCGATTGTTTCGTCTAAAGTTTGGCATTCACACAAACTTACTTTATTTTTACAACCGCAGCATTCTTGTTTTGTTAGCACTATATCAGCTTCTGGAACAAAAATTACATATGTATATATGGGTAGTATTAGCCGTTTTTATCTAAATACAAAAACTTAATTTTCCAAATATGTAAGCTTAAGCAAAATGAACGCCTAACAAAAAGAGACATTTCGTATATAATACGTATAGGCGTGCGGATTATACACAAAAAACCCCCGAGAGGTGTTTGGGTCGAAGTAACCAGTTGAATCCTATTGTAATCGATAGCTTACACAGAAATATATTTACAGTTAATTTTAACGTTAATTTTAACCAAGTTTTTACTGATGCCTTCATGCCATAAAAGCCAAAAAAACTGATTTTTCACAGCGGCAAATTTTTGGGAAATTTTAAATTAAACTCGCTATATCTCAGACATTTTATTATCGATTGATTTAAAATTGAATACACAATAAACTAGATACTATTCTAAGTAAAGTTCTAAGTACAGTTCTAAATAGTGACTCAAAACAAAATGGCGAATTTTTACATTTTTTTATACAAATTATGGAGGTAGTTTTTTCAAATACAAAAATAGTAGAAACTTTTTATTTTGACCAGTTTTGGCTATATTGGTTCGATGTTTAATATTTTGTATAATAGTCTAGCTCATTATATAACACGCACCATATAAATACACATTTCAAATTTGTACAAAAATTATAAAAACTCAAAAAATTTTACCAAAAACCCCCCAAAAATTTCAAACTTTTTAATCAGATTTTTTTTGAAAAATTTCTGGTATGCAGTTGTTTAGATCATTAAGTTTTAGTAGATTAAAGTGCAAATCTCAATCGCGTTGATTTTTAGTAAAATTTTTGTAGACGCTATATATTATATGAAACAAAATGCAAAACACGGTTAGCCAAAAAAAAAATTATTAAAAATCAGCGTCTAGTGTCTTGAGATTTGCACTTTAAATTAAAATTTAATGTGCTATAAAACTGCATAGCTAAAATTTAAAAAAATCGAATTAAGAAGTTTGAAGTCTTTGGGCTATTTTGGTAAAATTTGTTGAATTTTTATAACTTTTGTACAAAGTTTGAAATGTGGACTTATACGATATGTGTTATATAATGCGCTAGACTGTTAGAAAAAAATATTAAACATCGAATAAACAAAAGTAATATAGCCAAAACTGGTTAGAATAAAACGTTTCTATTATTTCTTCGACCACTGTATGTAGTTACATAGATATATGAGCCATTATTTTCAAGTCGGACGGATTTCGCAAAAAAATATCATGTCTCCGATTCGATTCCGATTCTATACATGAAATAAGCTAACACGTATTCGAGGAAGTTTTTTTTTAATTTTTTTCTTCGGAGATATGATCTGTCAAAGTTTGGATTTTGTCATGATTCTGACTAATCATGTACTTCTTCAAATATTTATATATCGGGTTCTGCTCAACACATAAATATTATCTTAATCAAAGCTCATTTTTTATTCACCATGTTTACACCCGCAAATCTCAGATTAGCCGTTAAATTTGTTGGGCTTGGTATTCTCACATCTCCAGGAAAAGTTATGTTTCTTCTCTGTGTCACCATGATCATTTTTTCTGCTATATTAAGCAATTTAAGTATACTTTAATTTAATATTTTATTAAAAATACCTTTACAAACCTCTTTTCCTTGCTAGTATCCATTTTGCTTACTTTTACATTTGCCATTTCTCCTCTTCACGCAAAAATAATCGATAAAACTAGGTTGGACACCGAACACTTATCCGTTTATTCTGAGATTATTTTATAATTACAGATTAACAAGGGAAAAATTTTGTATGGCGAATCTCTTTTTCTAATTACCGATTAGGGAGTGAAGCTCGAAAATGAGGACAATCTATTTATATGTACACCTCTCATACAAACCGAATTTTTCATCCTGCATATATCTGGAAGTGTTCATGGTAGAGTACAGGAACTTGGTATGTACAAGATATATAAAATCAATCGCATAGTCATGAAGAAAAATTGGGGCTATTGGAAAAAGAAGCGTGGCACCTCTCATATAAACCGAATTTTTAACACTGCACATCACTGGATGTGTTCATATATAAAATCAATCGCAGTCAGGAAAAATTGGGGCTATTGGAAAAGGGGTGTGGCACTTCCCATGTAAACGGAATTTTTCATACTGCATGACTCCGGAAATGTTCATGGTAGAGTACTCGAACATGGAATGGAAATATATGAAATCAATCGCATAATCATGTAAATAAATTGGAGCAATTGGAAAAAAGGGCGCGGCACCTCCCATAAAAACCGAACTTTTCATAATGCATATCTCCGGAAGTGTTCATGGTAGAGTACTCGAACATGGTATTTTATTAAATTTATAAACATTAGTACAATAAGATATCATCTTTTACAGTACAACAAATTGCTGATTTAAATATCGACAAAGAGAAGCAAAAAAAGGACCAAAGAAAGATAAAAACAATATATGTACATGAAATTAAACAAAAGCCATATAAAATAAGCAATACACATACATACTTCCGCCATAATAAATGCATAAATAAACTAACCTTTTAATTATAGTCCCTAACTAACAATAAAGATTAAGATTACGGCATTCCCGGTTTCCGGTTCTACGTACCGGAATGACTCGGGTTTTACCTGACCAAGGGCTGTTGTTTCGGCGATCTAACCCCGTTTAGGTCGGCGAAGTATCTCAGAAGTTGTTCGTCCATAGGGCTACATTCGCCACGTTTTCTTCTGCTCAGGGTTGGCATCGAGTCAAACCCAGGGCCAGAAACCTACTCCTGCTGTGTATGCCAGAGACGACTACACCACAACTTAACCTCAGTCAAGTGCAATGCTTGCGAGGGGTGGAGTCACCTCAGAGTCTGCTCAGGACTACGGACACACCGGCAGTGGCCCCTGCTGCTCAGGCAGAGCAGCCTCCACGGCTAACCCCAGCCCCACACAAACACCACAGGACAATAACATAACAACACAATAGACCACACCACAACCGCGACAGACCACAGAACACACACAACCGCACTAACACCTACACGCCGCCGCCTACAATCTGCACGGTATGTCAGACCAGGATCTTCCGTAATGTGACTTCAGTCAAGTGCAACACCTGTCTTGGCGGGTGCCACTTTAGGGCATGTTCAGGTCTGCGCACCACGCGAGATTGGACGTGGAACTTCGAGGGCCCGTGCTGCGCAGCACGGTCGCAAACCTCAACCGCGACGCCACCCACCATCACCACAGGGCGGCAACCACCTCAGCAGCGCACACAGCCAATGGCGTCACGGCCACACACATCTCTCACACCCCGCATTATCACACGTCTGATAAACAGCATATCATGGCGACCTATGCTGACTTTGGCATCGGACCATCTGCCCAAAGTCATCTCGATCGATAAAACAACCGACTTTGCTCCGCGGAGTACCGAACCTATATCCACTTCTGCAAAGCTGATTGGAAAGGCTTCGCGGAATTTACTGAAAACACCTTCGCTGCTCTCCCCACACCAACCGACGTCCACCTTGGTGAACGTAAGTTCCGCAGGGCTGTCACCGCTGCTGCAGCTCGCTTCGTACCGGCAGGATGCATCACGGACCCACGTCCAAATTTCCCTGCCGAAGCGGCTGTTCTAGCCGATGAGCATGACAGCCTTCGTCAGGCCGATCCCGGATATCCACGTATCAGGGATCTCAACGCGGAGATTCGGCAACTAGTGAAGTACATAAGCGGAAGAAGTGAGAAGAACATCTGAAGACCTGTAACTTCACCTCTGGTGTGAGTAAGCTTTGGTAAACCGTGAGGTCGCTGTCCAATCCGACGAAGCATGACGACAGAGTCGAAATTTCTTTCGACGACCATGCCTCGTCGGACTCGGAGCGATGCGCGAGCTACTTAGCCGGCAGTTCATACTGCATCCTCCGGTGGACAAAACCAAGCGTCGAGTGACCAGAAGGCTGCACAAACTGCCACCAAATTGTGCCCCCCTTGCTTTCACTTGCGGTGAAGTTCCGGTGGCCATCGGGAAGGCGAAATCCTCCAAAGCCATGGGTCCCGCTACTGTTTAACTTTTACATTTCAAAGCTCCCTCAACCACCAGAGGGAGTCTCGATTGTCTCTTACGCCGACGATTGCTCGATCATGGCGACTGGGAATGGAATTGATGACCTGTGTTCGAAAGTAAACGGGTATCTTCCCTTACGAAGTCCTCAGCGACCCTGTTTACAACCTGGACGAAGGAGGTCAGGCTGTCGCTGGGAATTCACGTCGTTGACACACCAATTCCGAAGGCGAATAATCCCAAAATACTCGGAGTAACATTCGACAGCCTGCTCTCCTTCTCTGCGCATGCAACCGCTATTGTCAATAAAGTACAGAGCCGCAACAAGGTCCTCAAGTCGTTGCTGGCATCATACAAGGCAATAGGCCGGCCGGTTTTAAGCTACGCAGCGCCAGTGTGGTCGCCGGGGACTAGTAGGACGCAGTGGACGAAGCTACTGACTGTACAGAACACCGCACTCAGGACAGCGACAGGATGCCTCCTGATGTCGCGCGAACATCACCTCCACAACGAGGCGCAAATGCTCCCCATAAAGGAGCACAACATAATGTTCTGCAAGCAGTTCCTGATCGGGAGCCACAGAAGTGGCCACCCAAACAGACAGCTGCTTGCAAAGGAGCCCTCGCCTAGGCACGTCAGGAGGCATCTATATGAACTGACGGACGAAGTCCAGAGGTTCATCAAGCAACCTTTGGACCCGTCAGCTTACCGACTGGCCCTGAACGGCATTCACAGGGAGTCAGTCTCAAGTTATGTAGACTCTAGACCTGTGAATGCCGTTCTAGGCATACCGCCACCGGACATAGACGAGACGGAGCTTTATCTGCCGCGGGAGACACGAATGACAATAGCCCAACTCCGCTCTGGCTACTGCAGCAGGTTAAACTCCTACCTGAGTAGATTGAATGAGGATGTGCCAAATGAGTGTCCGGCATGCGGAGAGACCCCATATGACTCGAAA